TAAAAGATGATGTCTCAAAACCGCCAAACTCACTGGTTTGACTGGAATCCTGCTACTGCACAATATTAACGTGTTTTTAGATAGGGTTATGATCGAGAATAAGCTTTATGTGGCCTCTCTGGAGACCAGAGTCTGGACTCCATATTATATTTGCACTAAGTTTAGTCGGGCATTATTTGCAGTCATCAGCCGACATTTGAAGCAAAAAAAAACAGGTAAAAAAAAAAAAAAAGCCGCGTCGCCGCACCACTTTTTGGGCGAGCTCCATACCAGAAACCGGAGACTTTTTTTTGGGGGGGGGCCTATAATGATTAACTCGTTCAATAACCACGTCGTCGATTGTAATCTGAACTTGGGCAAATGTGGGTAGACGTGGATGAGTCCCAAAAATCATGGACTTAGTTTTGCTCACATTTAAAATCAGTTTGTGCTTAATGAGCCACTGAGACACTTGATTCATCGCGGACATCATATCACATTTAATATCATTAGTTAATCCACTTACGAGAAATATGACGGTGACAATAATTGATTATTATTAGTAGCTGTAGGAATACTTGAAGTTTCACCATTTATTGGCATTATCATTATTCGCCGAATCTGCACGCATCATAGACGCTTGCTGTTCAAGCGGCTGTTCCACAGACTTACCCTTGGGCCGCCCCCGAAGTGAAACAGGCTTTGATATCTCCGCAGTCCGCACATTTTAATACACTCCTTCATGTCATAATTGAAAGTGCAGAGCACATAAAAAGTTCGGCTCCCGTGCCCCCCCCCCCCCCCTCACTGAAAACTGGGCATCCGATAAAAGCACTGCCATATGGGTTACCATGATTAGCTGGAAGAACATAAAGTAGCTTTTTCCGCGATTGTGTGCGTATTTTTCACCATTTTTTTTCGTGAGTGGCTGTTTATTGTAACGTCCCTTGGAAAGCAAATAATGGTATAGTTACTGTCTAACCATGCTCTAATGCAGCCATGGTCTATGTACCGACGTTTTGAACAGCGCCCCATGGGAAGATGTTGTCCAGCCAGCCCCCCCCCCCCTTCCACATTATGTGATTTTACGGATGTCGGGTGTCTGGTGAAAAAAACCTGTCTACCTTTCAGCAAATGTTTTTGGGCGCCCCTTGAAGACTTGACACCATCACACATTATGTGGCATCGTTATTCGTGGTGGCTATTATTAGACGGTTTTACCTATATAGGACAACGATTGTGCTGACAAAACGACTGATGCTCCCACCCCACCCTAGCGACGGAGGCTGTGAGGATGCTGTCTATGTACGTTTCTAAAATACATTTCAATGTCATGTTACCATGGCAACGGGCATTTCTTCCCAAGGCCGCGGACTCTCGTTAAACGAGAAGACCTCTACACGTGCGGGTGGTTAATCCACTTACGAGAAATGACGATGACAATAATTGATTATTATTAGTAGCCGTCGGAATACTTGAAATTTCACGATTTATGGGAAGTTGATTTGGTTCTTTGAAGTGCAAAAGAAAAATATACAAGCACTTTTGCATTTGTACGGAAGCCCGTTCGTGCCAGTTTTTTAAGTAGAAAAATATTTTCATTGCAAAATAACGCAATACTATTGCGAAATAACGCAATAGTATTGCGAAATAACGCAATAGTTTTTGCGAAGGAATGAAGGAATGCATGAGTCTGAATGATTGAACCTATACTTCGGCCTACTTTAGGCCTACTTATAGACAAATTCTCACGTCGTATTTTATGACAGATAAAGTTTTTATGGTGTTTAAAAGCCCAACCTGCATGGCGGATCCTGGATTTGTAAAGGGGATTATATAGCGGAAGACAAATATTAAATGGGATCAAAAACCTAAAGCAATGACTGGAGATTGTATGACGAATTTTATTTCACGAATCTTGTTAGTGAACATAGGCATTTTTCAGACGGAAATTGATAGTCATCCCAACGATCTCCATAACCCAACACTGCCTATAATGACCCCATAAAAGCACGTCTTAAGCCCGGTTCATACTCGAATACGCGAATTTGTGACGACATGGAAAGTATTCGCGCTGCGAATTCGCAAAAGTTGAACACATTTCAACTCGGACGAATTTCGCAGCGAATGTTTCATGACGTCAACTTCGCTTCGCATTCGCTTTCGCATGAAGTATGAACCGGGCTTTAGCTTTAAACTATGGAGACTAAAAGTACAGTTTTTTTGAAAAACTTGTAAAAATTCGTTCAGTTCTTTAACATGCTTAAAAACACTTGTCTAATTCATATCAGTACACAGTTTTCAAAAGTGATTCTTCAAGTTGATGCAAGGCATCCTTTTATCAATTTAAATTGAATGGACCGGTTATGTACTTTCGGGCGGGGGCTGATATTGGAGGGGAAAACATATTAAAGTTGGAAAATTATTCTTATGTACATAATGATTGTTCGTTTAAATGTATTAGTTTTCTTCAGCGTTATGAAATATTGGGCTTATAATATTGACGCATCCCCCCCCCCCAAAAAAAACCCAAACAACCATTCCTTTAAACGTAATTATATATGTACAATTTCCCTGCATTGTTACAATACGAGTGCACTGTGGATTCACCATTATACTCAAGTAATTATTCACATTCTAAAGTTAGTTTCCTTCAACTGCATTGGTAATTTATTGCTTATTATATTTATGCAGTACTTTGTTGCGATGGAATCATTTAGTTCTCTTCTGTCACCACGCGTTCGTGCATTCTGTCCATTTTGAGTCGGTTGTGTCTTAAAAAAAATCAGAACGCACACGATTCAATACGGGGGGGGCTGGTGTGAAAAGATAATAAATCCCTTAAAATGTGTTGCCCCTCCCCCGCCCCGGCAAAAATGTCACAGAAATGTCTATTATGTGAACGTTACTGACAAGATCAAACATAGGCCTACTTGTTTTCAGCACCCCGCCCCCTTTCAAGCAAAACCGTATCGAGACAAACAAGAGCACTATGGATACAAACGCAATGACGGATAAATTTATTGCGTTATTTCGCAAAAGTATTGCGTTATTGCGTTATTTCGCAAAACCATTGCGTTATTTTGCAAAACTATTGCGTTATTTCGCACAACCATTGCGTTATTTCGCAAAACTATTGCGTTATTTCGCAAGAGTATTGCGTTATTTCGCAATAAAAATATTATTTTTTTTACTTTAAAAACCTGGCACGAACGGGCTTCTGTACATTTGTGTTAAAATTTCAACGTCAGTCGAACGTCATTTTGGCAATATGAAAAATCATTTGACAACCTATTCGAGCTTCCACATTTCCTTCTGGAATTTCAAGAGCGTTGTCACCCTAGTGTAGAACTTTGTAATATTCCATCAACCAAATTCCAATTTCTATTTCCTTTTTTCAAGAGGATGAGATATAATAAACGTCATACGAAAAAAATAGTCACTTTCAGAATCTGCCACTTTCGACTTAGCGTCCTCCAATGTTGATTTATAGCACTGGAGACAGTGGTGTGTGCATTGCCCCAAACGATCGATGAGATGGGGGGGGGCGCACCCCCCCCATAAAAAGTTCGGCCCCCCCCCCCCCCCCCCCCCCCCACTTGGGCATCCGAAGAAAAGCACAGCCGTATGAGTTACCATGATTAGCTGGAAGTGCCTGGCAGAAGGGCATATGCGCACACGCCCTTTATACGCAATAGCGCGTAATCACCAAATATTCCCAGCAAAAGGGCATCAGGGGCGGATCTAGGAAGTTTCGCAGGTGGTTTTTTTTTTCATCAGAACAATATTTTGAAATGTAGACAGGGTTTTTTTCTCCGGACACTTTGCCTCCGAAAATCGATAGGTTTGGGGGGGGGGGAGGGTTCGTACCATACTTTCAACCGGCGCTGTTTAAATTTGACGATTATTAACACTATATAAGTATTACAAAATAACTTTAATACCCCATAACCAAGCTGGCTCTGTCCGTATTTTGTGCACAGCCACAGGCGCAGACATTATTACCAGTATAATTTTTTTTGGGTGTCAGAGCAGGGGGGGGGAGGGGGTGGTTGGGCTTATTTTTAAGGAATTTCTATGAACAAAATACAAATTTTGACAGAGCTGGGAGGGTTTCGAACACCCCTCCCCCCCCCCCTTTCAGCAAAGATGACATTTTTGTGCGCCTCCCCCCCCCCCCCCCCCCCCCCCCCCAGGATGAGAACACTGACTATGCCGCCGGAGGTGCGCAATGACAGCAGGGGTAATCCTGCATTCCTTCAAAAGCTTTCAGCCGCATCACGCGCCTTCCACCAGCGTCTCCAGCACTGTATCCATATTGGAGGACGCCAAGTGGAAAGTGGCAGATTCTGAAAGTATTATTTCCACAAAGCTGATGAAACTCGCTCCATATAATGAGTCATGCCTTGTTTACATGCACTGAAATTTTGGTTTAATTCCATTGGTAAACAACAGAGTTATTTAGGATAAAAAGTATAGGAATTTTTGTTGGACACGTAGGCCCTATATCAATATCTATGATATTCCTACCTTGTTTGGTATAATAAGTGCAGTTGTCAAACCCGGGCATAGCCGCACGTACATTCACTGGGACTAAGCTGGCATCCTCCAACACACACTGCCCGGTGGTCTTCCCGTAGCAAAACTGTCGACAAATACCCTTCTTCAGGCACTCGGCGGCGCAACGACGCCTGGATAGACCGACAGAAGAGGCAAAAACACGGTGTGGTTCTGTCTGATACTTCCCGTGCTCAGCCAACGCGAATGTACTCGAAGCCGCCTCCGGTGCTGAGCCGTTTGCTGGTAAGATCTCGCTAGAGCAGATCACAGCAATCAGACAAACTTGCAGTACTCTCATTTTTGAGACAAAGGATCACTTTTATAGTAAGACTCTTTCTCTTTCCGTCCAAAAAATACTTTTAATGAGAAGTGTTTCAGATTGCCATTGATCTCTCATGCACGACTCTGACTCTATTTATGAACCATGCATTTTACTTATAATTATAATGTCCGGCAACAACATGGCTACACTGCACTTCACCAAGCAACACACCCTAAAAATGAAAGTCGACGTGCAGCCGTTGGTTGTCGTACAAGCTAATGTAGATTTTACGCATGATCAATTTTTGACCTATAATGAAGCAAGATAACTATGCATGATGCACGACGCAATATTTAAGAAATGTATATCATGTCATGGACCAGCTGTCTAGGGGGCACCAAAGCCAAGCGATGCGCGTCTCTTCCGCTGTGGTCCATCTATCTTTCATGGTGGCTCATCTTTCTTTCAGAATGTGTGTCTCTGTCTCACTCGAGGGGAAGCTCATTTTCAAAAGGGGGTGTTTATCTGTCCAGCCTCCACAATGGACCGATCCAGTAAGCACCGCCCCATGGTATTCTGACGTGCGTGCACAAAAGTCCGACATGCGTGCACGCGCGTATGATGCGCGCGGCAGGAAAATACAGTGTGGCATTGGAGAGGAGCACGTGTTAATTTGCCCAGTGCACAGTGGGAGGGGCTTACTGGATCGGTCCATTGAGTCGCGGCCACGAGTTAATCACACCGCAAGAGAGAAACTCACAAGGGCGGGTCCAGAAAACTGTTTTTGGCGGGGGAGCTAGGGTCCCCAAAAAGTGGGTCAAAAATGTACGACGTGGGGTTCGGGATTCTAAAATGTTCTTTAGGCAATTTCTGACCACTTTAACCATTTTTTTTAAAGGAAATGATAGTGGTATACGTAGTGGTTGCCTCTTCTGCGACGTCTCTTAAAAAAAAATGTGGTTGGTGTTTATTTGGGGGGGGGGGACATGGCCCCAGTTGCCACCCCCCCCCCCCCCTCCCGATCCGCCGTTGTAAACACCCCCGTGAAAATGAACTTGCCCCCTCGGCAGAAAGAGACATGCACCACCGCACAGCGAAAGACAAACGCCGCAGCGCGGCGCTAGTCTGAGTATCACCCGTAATCCACTTAGCCATCTCCTGTCTAAAGGCCCTGTCACATTGCGTCCTTGAAAAATAGCTGGGGCGCAAAATCAACTACTAGATCGCAGTGTTCTTATTCCTCCATGATCGCAGCGACAACTACATTGGTCGCCAGATGGGCGCCAGAGGGTCTTAATGGTCTTCGATGAGCGCCAAGGTCTTTGAACTTGCTCAAAACAATCGCAACACCTCTGCGCCCTGGCCAGGACGCCGTAATGACGCATCTCGGGCGCTGTGCGAGCGTGAATCGTGCGACATTGAAGTGCCATTGAGGCAGCCTATAGGCGCAAGGCAGTCGATGTAGTCTCCATGAGAAAGTAACTCGACTGCGATGAACTTGTAGAATAATTTTGAAACTGGACTGTGTATTCACGGTTTTGTCGTGGTATTTATACAGCGCAAGTGACGTCACATGAGCGTATTTTGGTCGAATAGAGAGTGCAACGCGAGCTACTAGGACGTATCAACAGCTAGCAGAGCGTAGTGTGAGCGCAGTGACAGCGCATCGGCAGCGACTAGATCGACAAATAATTGAGCTTGACAGGGGCGCATAGAGAGCGAGTTGAGCGCATTGTAAGCGCGGGAAGAGCACAGTATGAGCGTAGCTTGAGCGTCTTTGAGACAGAAATTTGTCATTTTCTTGCGTCCTCGCTGCGATTGTTAAATTTATGAAATATTTTTGGTCGCCGTAAGGTCTCCTATGAGATCGCATATAATTTGACAGGCCCTTAACGTCTGATATGTCAAAGCATGCAGATTTATGCAAGCCGCGCGCCAGCTAATCAGAGTCGACTTTACTAAATCGTGACGTCACTGCATCCCAAAATCAGGACTAACGCTGTGATTGGTCAATTCGAATGCAGCGTTTTGTAATACAACAACAGCCGGGAGCGCATTCGCGTAACATGATACCGAGCGCCGCGCGCCGTGATTAGTCAATTCGAATGCAGCGTTTTGTAATACAACAACAGCCGGGAGCGCATTTGTACCGAGCGCCGCGCGCCGTGACATTTTATTTAAAACCATGTCTGTGACGCGCAACAGGTGAATGACCGAAGGCCCGATAGACCTATAGAAAGCGCCTGCTGATTGGTCAAAATCTAGGAAGTCAAGAGGCGGGGTCTTGCCTAATTAATCAGCCAATCTGTTCGCGAATAATAGTGAAAGACAAATACGTACCTGGCACTAAACTCAATAGAATAAGGAAATCCATTAGTCTAATGGATTTCCTCATTCTGTTGAGTTCACTTCTGGGAAAAAAGTTCAAATTAAACTTATTTTATTTTCATCATGGAGATACATAATGTTGAGCATTCGCCTCATGCTTTACGCAGTAGGTTTATAGTGACTCACAACTTTCAAATTTATGGTCTAAATAGGCCTATATACACTTGAAGTCTTGTGGGCTAAAATTTACATTTGAAGTGTTGTTCCTCTGCACATTATTTTTTTGTGAATCAACTGACAGAACGATCATCGAGGCATAGGGCATAAAAACATCAGGGTGCGATTGTGCAAATAAGAACAAATACCCTGGTTCATGACATTAGATGTTCACCTCATTATACATGTACATTTACATAGGCCTAGAGCCCTGATACAATACACCCAAGGGTTGCTAATTTAACAGGCAGCTAATATGGATAATTGGACCGAGAGGTTTTTATAACAAAACAAGTGCGAGTGCTTAATAAGCTCTGGCTGTCTTGCATGAAAATCTGCCATGTAATCTACGCTGTAGTTTACACAGACCCATATGAACAGCGACCTCTATAGTCACATTGGCGTGTAGCTTGCGAGTTCCCCTTTCTAATGCAACACCATGCTTTAGATGTTTACCTAGATTTATAGATGATTTGTGATAAATACCACGTGCACGTGACTGTAACATTTAATACTGCACAAAATTATTTTGCCTCTATTTCCAAACTTTTCATAAACATCTTTCCGAATTGTTACAAACAATTTTTGTAAAGTATTGAATTTATTTTGTTTGCTTTTTTGGAAAAGTGTAATTTGGTAGTTTTATTTTGTGGGAAACGTATAGGGCCTTATTTTTGGTCAAGTTTCGGGGGACAGACCGACCGACCACCAAGTGACATGTAGAAGCTCCGGCCAGAGTACCCTGCGCAGCGTTTACAAAAAGAGTATACTTGGAGTCGTGGGCAGCACGTACTTTTACGCGTATATACCTATTGTTTTGGTTTTATACCAGTTCTAGGAGGGTTTATACAATTGAGTAGGAGGTCTTTGCACATTGTACATATCAAAACACCGCATACATGAGTTCAAAATGCTGGGGGGGGGGGGGGGGGGGGTGGTTTGCGGCTATGAAGGGAGATGGTTGTGTCAAGTTACAATGTTTCAATGAGACTTGGCAGGAGGCCTGGTCGAAAGTTTGTTGACACGGCCTGGGTGAAGCCCTGGCTGCAAAGTTCATTGAACCAGCTTATTTGGCAAGGGTCGAATGAGGATTAGATGATAGGTGACCGTCATTGGCCCTCAATTATTTTTTTTCCAAAAAAATCGGTTACCTGGGGCCCAAAGGGCAGCAGGTCACTCTGCGCAGGGTTTAAGATATGGAAGCGGATTGTACACCTTCATGCCTTCATTACAACAAGTAAATGGCCATCCTCCACACAAACGATCAGCGTTGAAATACACGCTGTATTCACACACAGATGGGTATAGGCTAATGCATACACCCTCGACTTACTGAAACCATACCTCCTAAAAGAAACGGGTACTGAACATACTAACTGTACCCCATGTACATTTAGTTTGTCTGCTTGCTGTAGAAACCAAATATTTCTGCTAAAAATTTTATGTACGTACTTTTCGAATTCAAAACGACAGCAATTGCACACTGACTATGTCAGACATCCATTAACAATACATGCGTTTTAGGTGGCCGATTCGTTCGGCCAGATGGCATACGGGGCAGTGTATTTGCCTGTCACTCACGAAGTTTATTCATAAAGAAACTGCACAGCTAGTTGCTGTCAACTCTAGTGAATATTCAAACCAAACTTGAATGAAATTCACAAAAATTTATGTAGGCCTACGTACTTTTCAATATTCATAAAACCATTAATCAATCTGAAGTTGATCGACTGTATAATCGGCCGATAACCCAATTTTGGCTTGTGTGTGCGCCGGACGCGCGCGCGTGTGCAACTCGCTGCGCGCATGCAGCTTGTTCTTCACGCGCGGTACTGCATGCTGATTGGCTAATGGTCATTTGTTTACTGCGTTTGCACGCGGCTAAATCAGGTCACTGCGTATTCGCTAAATGTGTATTCATTACTTCCCAAACCAAACCAGTTCGCGCTGTAATTGGCTGTATGTAAATGAAATGATGATATCAGAGTTCGTTAAGTTTATCACCTCACCCGTGCGTACTTGTTGTAATGTGTATATTAAATGTGAGGTGTATACAAAATTCAGACATTATTGCAGCTACATTTACAATGATGCTGCCATTAAGGCACGGGCTACATTTAGGTACAATGTTTGAGCTACATGTATGTCAGGGGCTACATTTAGGTACAGGATTGAGGCTACATTTAGGTATAGGGTTGGGGCTACATTGAGGTACAGGGTTTGGGCTACATTTAGGTACAGGGTTGGGGCTACATTGAGGTACAGGGTTGGGGCTACATTGAGGTACAGGGTTGGGGCTACATTGAGGTACAGGGTTGGGGCTACATTGAGGTACAGGACTGGGGCTACATTGAGGTACAGGGTTGGGGCTACATTGAGGTACACGGTTGGGGCTACATTGAGGTACAGGATTGGGGCTACATTGAAGTACAGGGTTGGGGCTACATTGAGGTACAGGGTTGGGGCTACATTTAGGTACAGGATTGGGGCTACATTGAGGTACAGGGTTGGGGCTACATTGAGGTACAGGGTTGGGGCTACATTGAGGTACAGGGTTGGGGCTACATTGAGGTACAGGATTGGGGCTACATTGAGGTACAGGGTTGGGGCTACATTGAGGTACAGGATTGGGGCTACATTGAGGTACAGGGTTGGAGCTACATTGAGGTACAGGGTTAGGGCTACATTGAGGTACAGGGTTGGGGCTACATTGAGGTACAGGGTTGGGGCTACATTGAGGTACAGGATTGGGGCTACATTGAGGTACAGGGTTGGGGCTACATTTAGGTACAGGGTTGGGGCTACATTGAGGTACAGGATTGGAGCTACATTGAGGTACAGGGTTGGGGCTACATTGAGGTACAGGGTTGGGGCTACATTCAGGTACAGGGTTGGGGCTACATTGAGGTACAGGGTTGGGGCTACATTGAGGTACAGGATTGGGGCTACATTGAGGTACAGGGTTGGGGCTACATTGAGGTACAGGGTTGGAGCTACATTGAGGTACAGGGTTGGGGCTACATTGAGGTACAGGATTGGGGCTACATTGAGGTACAGGGTTGGGGCTACATTGAGGTACAGGATTGGAGCTACATTGAGGTACAGGGTTGGGGCTACATTGAGGTACAGGGTTGGGGCTACATTGAGGTACAGAATTGGGGCTACATTGAGGTACAGGGTTGGGGCTACATTGAGGTACAGGGTTGGGGCTACATTGAGGTACAGGATTGGGGCTACATTGAGGTACAGGATTGGGGCTACATTGAGGTACAGGATTGGGGCTACATTGAGGTACAGGATTGGAGCTACATTGAGGTACAGGGTTGGGGCTACATTGAGGTACAGGGTTGGGGCTACATTGAGGTACAGGATTGGGGCTACATTGAGGTACAGGGTTGGGGCTACATTGAGGTACACGGTTGGGGCTACATTGAGGTACAGGATTGGGGCTACATTTAGGTACAGGGTTGGGGCTACATTGAGGTACAGGATTGGGGCTACATTGAGGTACAGGTTTGGGGCTACATTGAGGTACAGGGTTAGGGCTACATTGAGGTACAGGGTTGGGGCTACATTGAGGTACAGGGTTGGGGCTACATTGAGGTACAGGGTTGGGGCTACATTGAGGTACAGGGTTGGGGCTACATTGAGGTACAGGGTTGGGGCTACATTGAGGTACAGTGGCTACGTTTAGGTGCAGGGTTGGGGCTACATTGAGGTACAGGGGCTACGTTTAGGTGCAGGGTTGGGCTACATTTAGGACAGGGGCTACATGTTGGTTCGGGTTTTATTTCCAGCGTTGGGGCGACATTTAGGGCTCGAGCTTCATTGAGTGAAATACAGGGCAGGACAGGAGACTGGTGACGAGTCTATGATTAGTGATTAACGCTCCTTTAATTACTGATTGTTCATACAATTACAATGACGAAGACAGTAATAAGCTTGATAGGTGGATTGACTGATGAAGGCTGAGTTGTGTAATTGTAAGCCGTAGAATGGGAGCCGTGTACTGTAATGGATGCCGTGTTATGGAGGCTTGTACTGCAATGGAGGCCGTGTGATGGAGGCCGTGATTCTACAAGAAAACCGAATTAGGCCTAATACAATATAATAAACTTATAATAATGAGGTGACATGAAAATGCATGATTTAGTCTGAGACAAGAATTTCCCCAGTATCAACTAAATGATCTGACAAACTGAGAAATTAGATAAGCTATTATAAGCCCCAAATTACACCAACTTAACCAGCAATAATGATTTGATACAAGGGCATAATCCTTTAAGATCACACGTACATGTACATGTACTCATATAACAACGTATAATGAACACCCACGTTATGTATCCGTTACAAAAAAAAACACAAAATATACCTTAAAATCATCTATAAAATGCACTGACTTTTAGTACAATTAAACGCACGGCCGTTTATAGGGACGGCGAACACTGCACAGATCATTTGGTAAATTGGGTTTAACCTGGGATTTTACGTTTGATCGAAGAAGTAATTGAGAGATTTATCGGAATGCTTTCAGGAAGAATGTGAGTGAAATTCAGGGGCGTATGTCATTTTTGTTTGGGGGTACACATTTCTGGAAAAGGGCACTTGCACACCCGTGCTGAAATGAAGACTTGGTGTTTTTTCTCCGAACACATGGCCTCCGTACCGTTTAACATTTTTTTGTTTTGGCCGGGGGGGGGGGGGGGGAACCGACGATTATGCACACTAACGGACAATATGTGGTGCATTTCGGGGCGATACATACGCAAAATTAAAAAGAAAAAAAGGACCCGTAACGCCAATGGCACCAAAAAGAGCACGGTTTTTTTTTTTTTTAAAGAGCACTTGTTCATAAAAATGGGGAATTGTTAACAAAAGAGGGCCACTCTTTACATATTGGGGGGGGGGTTTCAATCGCTGGTGAAAAAAACGAATTTGAATGGAAAAGGGAAGTCTTTACAAAATACTGGAGGGTCAACCCCCTCCCCCCAAAAAAAAACCCACCCCAATACCACTCCCGCTGGCTACGCCTATGAAATTGGAATCACCTTGGAATTTTCTAGAGTCATAATCACGAGAGGGCGCTATACAAGTTTATAGCTCCGACACTTTCGTACATTGAGGTGCAGGGTCGGGGCTACATTTAGGCCACAGCCCGGCTATACATCTGGCTGCACTAAGGTAGGTACGGAAGCGTATAATGACCATCCGCGTTACTGCGTTACTGAGATAAAATATCTTGGAAACATGGAATTCTCTGAAAGGCTATCGTGGAAACGTGGAATACTGTGATAGCCTATCACAGAAATGTGGAATTCCGTGATAGGCTATCGTGGAAACGTGGAATACTATTGTAGCGGTACTGCCTCGGACGACTGCCCCGGCGAGTAGCGACGAACGGCCTAGCCTCTACGGTCGGGTACGCAGATCCGTTTCGGCGGAGATTTACCGCCAGGCCCGCAGCAGACTACCAAAGGATCACCCTTACACGCTCTCTCGCTCACACAACCCAAGCGGACTAACTAGGGGGACTGGGGAAGGATGGGGACCTGACACCAGATATGTGTTTCGGAAGAATATTTATTCGCTTACCCAGGCACCTCGCCTACGTGATCTTATCCTCAAACACTTCCCTTACAAACTCAGAGATTACTTAATTATCTGGATTATGAAGCAGGAATCATTTATCAATTACACTCACACAAAGTACGAGGCTCCCTCCACTGTGACTATAGGTGATTGATTATTGGTTAATTGTGGGAGATTAGAACAGTGCAACTTTTCCTGAGACCGCGCTCGGGATCCGGCCACAGCAGAAAGAGAGCGAAGCTGAGCGCGTGGCCGCTTATATACACTGGCGCAATTGGCTGGCGCCCCCATAAACCTGGGTGAGTGCACGCGCACCCCGCTGGCTACCAGTAAAGAACTAAAATGCGCCCTCTATAAAATGCATTGCGCTACACTATGATAGCTTATCACGGAAACGTGGAATATCGTTATAGCCTATCAAAGAAACATAGAATTCGCTGATGGGCTATCGTGAAAGCATGTAATTCCGTGGTGAGCTATCGTGGAAACGTGGGATTTTGTGACAGGCTAACGATATCATGGCATTTTGCTTTGCCACAATATAACATCACGGAATTCCATGTTGCTGAGATACCCTATCGCGGTATTCCACGTTTTCGTGATTGGCTATTACAATATTCCGCGTTTCCACGATAGCATATCACGGAATTCCACTTATTCATGATAGCCTATCACCGAATGCCACGTTTCCAAGATAACCTACCACGGATTTCCACGTTTCACAGATGGAATTCAGCGTTTTCATGATGGGCTATCACTGCATTCCGAGTTGTAAAGTTATTTTATGATGGAACTCTATGTTTCCAAGATATTTTATCTCAGTAACGAAAATACATTACTTTGGAATACATTCTGAGAAGAATTGATTAGGTAAGTTTTTAGTGGTCATATTGCTTTCTTTGGTTATTCATCCATTCTCTTATGGATTTTTTTTGTTAATCATCTTTTTTGGGGGCACAGGCCAGTAATTAAAAAACGGAGGAAGTTATAATGAAACTAACATAAAAATGAGTTAATACTTTAACAAAGGTATAGCCACTCATTTTTGTTTTAATGCGAATGTAAAGACAAACGATAAAAATTGAGTTAAAAGTTTAACATAAAAATATAAGTAATAAATAAAATTTTAAAAATGAGAATTAAAAGAAAAATAAAGAAAACTGAAAATAAAATTAAAAAGAATATTTTTATACTGCACTTTAAGTAAAAATATATCATCGCCACGTACATTAAGTTAAAACCTATTAGCGCGGCAAATTAAAAAATCCAAAGAGAAAATTAATTTGGTGTAAAAAATTAAGAATTAACCAAAATACAGAGTGACCCCAAAAAAGTTGTGCAAGCAGACATTTTTGAATTTCTCAAAAAGTATCCAACATCAGCATTTCATGTTGATGGAGTATATTTACTTAGTGTGACGTCAAAGAAATAGTTGAAATTATCATATTATGACAAATTAACAAAATTCTAGCCATTGACCCATACATTAATCTTCCAAAATTGAAATTGTGTAAGGCAAAAAAAAAAAATAGTCGGTCTCTGGTCAGACCGAAGTTCCAGAATTGATGCGGCGACGCGGTTTTTTTTTTTGGGGGGGGTTTGGCTTTTTTTTTTCAAGCTTGTATTGTACAGACAAGGTGGGTACTATTTTGCTTTTTTGTGTCCTCATTATACATTGGTGTCCTCCATAATTTGCCTTGGTGGCCTTTATCATTTGCCTTGGTGCAATTTCTCCATTTCTTGGTGCTCCTTGGTACAAAAAATTGAGGAGGCGCGGCAATAGAGGGCGCTGTTGTAGCTTCCGTGTTAATTTGAAGAAAGAAAAAAAAGTTGACGCGCATGATTAAAATCGACGCGCGCGCTGACCAGAGACCGAGTATTTTTTTTTTTTTTGGCATAACAGTGGTGAAACATTTCTTCTTAAAGTGCTTGGTGCATCACAACTAAAACTGTCGCAGAAAAGTGTCATTGTGTACAGATTGTCAATTTACAGGTGAATTTTAATTCAATTTACAGGTGAATTTTAATTTTAAGAACAGACCGACTACTAATTAAAATTAGTAGTCGGTCTGTTCTTTTCATATATACACTGGTACAAAATCACTGCACAGATGCAGGTACTAGAGTACACAATTCATATCCGAAAATGCACAACCCCAAATTAGGGTAAACGTAGCTTAGTTGATAGAATATTGGCCTTAAAAGTGGTAAACGTGTTGAATCTCTGATGGCCCCATAATGTACGTTTAATATAACATTTCACCTCTGTACAAAATTGCGTGCTTTATGAAAACAAAATGCACAATTCCAACACATGTTATCAGCTGGACTAATTGTAGCTATTTAAAAATGTCTGTCTCTCCACGAAAACATGATAAGCACAAACGCCTACTCCTACATATTTCTAAGGTCTCCTTATTTGTGAATTCAGACTGACGCAATCAATTGCATCTTCATTAGGTGTCTCTTTTACGGAAAAAAAATAACAACGATATTGAGATTATAACGAGCATTGTTGCATAATAATGTAAAACTATTACAGCACTGTGCAAGGTATGAAAACCACATGGGCTGACACATTCCTAACTATGGTAAGGAGACTCAAAATTAGTAGAAAATAGATTTGTTCAAACTGTTCAATCAGCTTTTCTGGTTGTTAAGCGAAAAAGCAGATGTCCGCTTTTGAACCACTAGGAGGGTAAACAGTAACATTTTCTTTCCTGGTAGCAGAAAAGCAGAAAAATGCTAAGTCTACTTTTCTGCTTTTTTTTATGGCAGAAAAAGAGATGTTAACTATTGAGTTATATGTCTACAACGACAATAGTCCTAACAATCCTGAATCCTCCAATTTCAATATGATTTTGCAC